ACTGCCCTCCACAACTAAGATGCTGAACAACAGCTCAACCTGGAGCTGGGCTGCCGTGAGTCGCTGGCGACGGCGTAGGCTGCAGTCCCTGTAGCAGTGGGTTGCCATGGGCTACCGTGTGTAGCCAGCAGCCAGCGTGAGCGGCCAGCAGCCAGCGTGAGCGGCCAGCAGCCGCAGTGAGCGGCCGTCCAGAAGCCGGCGACTGATCTGCCTCGCCAGGGAAGAGCGCAATGATGGTGCCAACTTGGGCCAGTGAAGCAGTGTCCTCCACAACTAGATTGAAGAACAAAGCGACAGCAACTTGTCTGTTCCCCTTCCCCCAAATTCCCCAGTACTGTTCCCATCCCCCCAATTACCCAATAAAAATCTTTAAAAAAAAAAAAAAGGAACAGCTAGGAGACAAATAGCTGACTTATCTTCAGAAATAATAGAAGGCAGAAGGCCATGGGATGAAAAGGAAAGAAAGCAACTACCAACCTAGAATTCTATTCCCAGTGAAAATACTCTTCAAAAGTAAAGGCAAAATAAAGACATTTCCAATCAAATGAAAGCACAGAAAATGCATCATTAGCATGGGCTTAAAAAAGAAACACTAAAGGGAATTCTTCTGGCAGGAGTAAAATATCACAGAAGAAACCCTGAAATGCAGGAAGGAATGAAGGCAATGGGAATTTATGTTGATAAACCTGATATTGGACCCCAGCGTTAATGACGATGTTAGTCATACGAGTTATGTATCTACCTGTGTGAAATATATGCAGACTTAGAAAGCACAACAACAGATAGCAAATGGTGGAAAGAGTAAAATGGCATGAAAGCGTTCTGAGGCCCTGGAAGGGTGGGAAAATTACTCAGTTCTCTTAGACCAGCGGTTCTCAACCTGTGGACTGCGACCGCTTTGGGGGTCGTACGATCCTTTCACAGGGGTCGCCTAAGACCATCGGAAAACAAAAAGATATTTACATTACGATTCATAACAGTAGCAAAATTACAGTTATAGAGTAGCAACGAAAATAATTTTATGGTTGGGGGTCACCACAACATGAGGAACTGTATGAAGGGGTCGCGGCATTAGGAAGGTTGAGAACCGCTGTCTTAGACGCTTATACATCGAGCATGCATGTTGAAATTACAAGGATTGCCACTAGAAGGGACAGCAAAAGGATGAATAACAGACAAGCTAAGAGACGTGCCAAACTGGAATTGTAAGAAATGCTGGATGGCTCTAAAAAGGCAAGAAAGAAGAGAAACAAGGAATATAAAACAGGTGGGACAAATATCCCAGACAGTAACACAGCAGATAAAACCAGGTACGTTAATAACTGTGTTAAATGTAAACCAACCAACCATCAAGCCTCCCAATGACCACATGGACCCTGTTACCACATTTTACAGGTGAAGAATCCAAGGCACAGAGGAGTTATCTGCCCACGTGTGTCTGGCCAGGACGTCGTGGTATCAGAATTCAAACCCAGCAGGCTGCCTTGGGGGCCCGAGCACATCACCCCTCCAGGAGCTCCCCTCCTGTCTGTCCACCCAACACTGCTTTAGGTTACCCAGGGTCCCATTAAAAGCTCCTACCTGGGGCTCGCGGGTGCCCCATCGTTGCCATGGCGACCATGCCAAGGCACAAACTGGATCTCCTCCGAAGTGAAAATGTCTTCCTGGATTCTCGTGTACGTCAGGACAAATGAAATCGGTCATAAAGGGCCCTTGTAGACGAGGCCTCTGCCAACCCCTCCCCCCCTGCACCCAGTTTCCTTCCAGGAAGATGGGGCTCCTGGGGTTTCCAGGCAGTACAACAGTCTCCCTAGTCTAGAGTGCTGGCTTTATGCCCCAATCCCCTCCCACCGTAAACCTCCCTGAGGGCCCGCCCCTCTTCCCACCCCTCCCTCGGCTGTTCCCATCACTGGCACCCCTCACTGGGCCCTCCCTGTCTCAGGCTCTATGCCCATCACACCCTCCCAGCTCTACGATGCAGGCACTGCCACTTCATCTCCTGGGCAGGACGACACTCAGAACGATAAGTGATGGCCCAGGCCAGGCCACCGATCCTCAAAGTGGATGGTCACCAAGTGACCGCGTGCGCCTGGCACTCTCCCAGCTGCAGGGAAAGAGTAGCGAGCAGAACAGGCGAGTCTGTGCCCTCCTGGGAGCAGTCAGCCCCTGGCCCTCCGCATCTATCTGAACAAAGTTCTGACCTGTGCTACACAGCGACCGTCTGTCCAACACACGCACAGACTGTCTCCTCATGGTTCCCTCAACGGCACAGGGTAACGACTATTTACACAGCATCCCAGGGTGTTTTGTGTTGTCAGTACCTGGAGGGTGTGTGTAGGTTACATGCGCACACTCTGCCATGCTGAGGGACTTGAGCATTGTGGATGCTGGTAACCCACGGGGTCCTGGGCCCCGCGGGTCCCGAGGGACTATATTATAGGCACACACGCTGTGGTGCTTGCTGATAAGTGATAAGGAGTAAAGTGAGGAGGAGGGACAGTGTGTGCAAGTTTTGAAAGGGTGATCAGGGAAGGCCCCGCTGAGCTGGTGACAGTTCAGTGAAGACGGGAGGACATGGAGGCATGTCAGACACAGGCCTTTCAGGCAGACACAGGCAGAAGGGGCCGGAACTGGCAACGCCTTGAGCACAGAGCAATGAGTAAATGGCACGAAATGTTATCAACCAACTTGATAGCGAGCTCCTCAGGGTACGGGGTATCCCCAGCATTTGCGCACTCTGCTAAGCAGAGGGACTGGACTTGAACTCTGGGCTGGAGAGTAAAGGGGCACCCACCCCAAAGGAATGACGGTCTGACACCCTGTCCGTGTCCCAGGGACACGTCTGTACACTGCAGGCCCCCATGAATTCTTCCTACACAAAGGCACAGGAGAGCCTGGCCCGCAGGGAGCCTGGTACTGAGACAACGCTGGTCTCCCTCACTATCTCCTCCCTTTTTTTTTTTTTAATTTATTTTTTATTGTTAGTTTCAGGTGTACAGAACATTGCAATAGTTATCCTTTTCATCCCCACAAAGTAACAACCCCCCTCCCCCCATGTACTGCCCTCCCACCCCCGATATCATGCTTATCTATTACAATTCCATTGACTCCATTCCCACTCTCTACTCCACGTCCCGTGACTATATGTATATGTAATTATAGTTGACTTACATTATTATTCAACATCAGCTTCAGAAATACAGTGCGGTGGTCAGGCCTCTACATCGACTATGAAGCGGTCTCCCTAACAAGACATGACTCCATCTGGCCCCCTAAGAAATATTTACAACATTATTGATTATATTCCCCAGACTGTCTTGTTCTATCCCTGAGGCCATATTGTAGTTACCAATTTGTATTGCCTCGTCCCTTCCCCTTCTCCTTCATCCCCACCCCCTCCCAACTAGCAACCGTTTTCCTCTGTCTCTGAGACTATTCCTGTTTACATTTCTCATTTATTCAGTTTTTTAGAATCCACATATAAGTGAAATCACGTTATTTGTCTTTCTCTGACTTATTTCACTTAGCATAATGTTCGCTAGTTCCACCCATATTGTTGCAAATGGTACTATTTCCTTCTTCTTTATAGCTGTATCTCCTCCCTTTAGGAAAAACTGAGCTGTCGTACGCCAAAGAGCAAGTCAAATTGATATCATGTCCCTGAACCCTCCAAGAAATGGGGTGCCAGGCCTCCGGGCTGAACGGCGTAACGCAAAACCGTGTGCCACAGGGAGAAGCCAGCCCTTGTCCTCTCTTTGAGCAGGAAGTGTTGTCGGGGGTGAGAAAGATGGCTAAGACCGGATCAATTCCAGACTGAATTCCAGAGGGTTCTACCTGAGGTAGGCCCAACCCACCCAGAGATGGGAACCTACCAGGGGACCGGCGTGGATACGCCCGAGGCCCAGAACAAAGCTGCAAGAAGGGAAGCCGACCCACCTACCTGGAGCTCAGGAGCCAGCCTGGGAAAGAAAAGGGACTCTGGGAGGGACAGGCCTCCAGGCACACCCTACAGATACCACTCCCTGGGCACGGGGACATGGGGTCTTGGACAAGGGGCTTCCCATGCTTTGGCTTTCTCCAGGAGGGAAAAGTATGTGGGAAGGGAGGTGCTTGTCACTGAGATACTTGAAAACCCTCCAAATTCTAAGGAGGCATATGGTCCTCAAATATTTGCAGAGCTATTAAATCTGTGTATTTTATGACTCTCGGGCATAAGGGAGCCTGGTGAGTAATCCATGTACTACACGGTTAAGCTCTTTAACAGAACCTAAAACAGGATCTTACCGTTTAAAACCAGAGAGGCTTATAAGTGCTGTACCCTGGGTTTCATGGCACGTGTGTTAAATGGCACTTGTCCTGGGATAGGAACAGCCTCCCTGTCCCAACCCTAAGCCATAATGCTGTTCTGTGACCTGACTCTACAGCTTGGAAGAAAAGCAATGGCAGAGGCACTGAAGCGAAGTGAAAGCCCTGCTCACTGACCATCACCCCTCAGCGCATACAACAAGCATTTCAAATCTAAGGACAAGCCTGCCGGGCTTAGTGAGTTTCGATAATGGCGGTCTTTAGTGTCCCCGTGTGGCCACACGTGGTATGACATCCTCAATGGGGAGTCCTGTGGTCAGGACAGCAAGCAGGGGAGCTTATCAGAACAGGATGGGTAAAAACGAAGCTATCGTAAAGATTCTGTAGGGTATCCGATGGACACTTGTCTTATTAGGGAGACCACTTCATGGACAGTGTAGATGCCTGACCACTGCACTGTACACCTAAAGCTGAATAATACTGAATGTGACTATAAAAATAAGCATCGGTGTTGATTTTTTTGTTTCAAAAACTCACAGTGTCTGCATGCATCCTTCTGTGGCTTCCTTTTTTCCATTTAACACTGCGATTTGAAGGCATTTTGTATACATTGGTGTAGCGCAAACGCCTAATTTCCAAGGTGAGTCCACACTAAAAATGCACAAGTTGGCAAGGAGGAGAAAGAGGAATATGGCTTGAAGAGGGCATCACGTAATAAATTTATTGTATTTCATTACATTTTCCACTTTTCTCTGAATTCCAACTGTAGGCTATATAATCAACTGCCGTTCCAGAAAGAAAACGTTGTAAACATAAAAAATATAAATTCTGCTTCTTAAAAGTGCATACAACCTTGAATAAAACATACAAATAAATAACAGAGGTCCGTGGCGCGTCTCATGCATTTGTTCTAAAATAATTTAAAATGGGACAATTATGCTTTTCTCCCAGCCTCAAGGAAAGGTATATCACTAACCTCCCATACGACTGCACAACCACAGAAGAAAATTAGACAGGAATCACTACGAATGGTGCGTGAACAATACCAAGGCATTTTGTGTACAGTGATAAGACATGCAGCTGCGAAGACAGGCATAGAAACCCCAGTGTAAAAACTGCAGCGTTCTGTGGAGAGGCTGTTTCTGCAATGGGGCTTGAATTCACTTTTAACCAGTGGGGAGAGGCACAGTTGGTGAGCTGACCTGCAGGGAAAATCAATGACAACCTGAAGGGCCCCCAGAAAGAGTGCCAGCCTTGCAAATGCCCTACCTGCCTTCCCATCTGGCATCATGACCCCTCGCCATGGAGAGTAGCACCTAGGGAACTTCGTATTGCGTTTTCTCCATCACGACAGGTCTCACTGCCCTGGGTGGCCCTTCTAAAGTGACACTTCCAACTTGGATTTTTCCTTTTATCTTTTATGCCTTGGAGTGCTGAAAAACACTAGGGAAGTTGTTTCTTTTCTTTCTTTTTTTTTGTAGGCAGCATAATGCTCAGAAGGAAGAAACCACCTGAGACGCACGGCAGGTTATTTTGAGGATGGTGTAGTGTGTTCAGCTCACCACAGATTAAAACTAAATTTTATTCGCCCCCATCAGTAACAGCCAAATTTGTGGATGAATGTTATGATTTTTTTTTTAATTACATGAAAAACTACCGGTGAGGTTTACAAAAAAAAAAAATCCAAAGAAAATGCTTCACATTCATTTTTTTAAACTTTTCTAATTCCTGAAACTACATTCTGAATAAATAGGAAATCTGGCAGCAGCCCAGGGTCTGCTGTTGTAACTACTGCAAAGAAACCATCACACTACAAAGCAGGGACAGGGTCCCCTGGGCCACTAAGGCGTCGCGGCAGCATTTTCTAACTCACTTCCCTACCAGCCAAGGTGCTGGCCCTGCTGTGGGACCCAGGGGACAGGCTCTGGGGAGGACGCACACGCCATGGGGATACTGCCTGCCTCAGCAAACTAAAGACTGCCGGGCCATCCACGAGATGCCCCAAGCTCCCAAACTGGGCCTCGAATCACAAAGACTCCCTTACTTCAAACAGAAGGCTGACAGCAGTTTCTCCCCAGATTTTTTTTCTTTTCTCCAATAGGACAGAGGAATCTGAGCAGCTTCCTGAGTACCTCCATGCACTGAGTTCGCCCCAGTTCCATAACAGTGCCTCTCAATTCGGTATCAGAAACATGTGGGAGTTTTAACCCGCGTGGTCCCTCCTGGGACCCACCCGTGTGGATTAGAGCAAAGGCTTGTGAGTGGGAAGGCCCCAGGCGATTTTCATGAACATTGCATACCAGAACCTTAGACACACCCTTCGGAAGAGGCGTCACAGAACCTTGGGGACAGTCCGTGTGAGATCTGAAAAAGCCTCCCAGGTCCACTATGGGTCCCTCTTCTCCCCAAAATTGGGAAATACCAGATTAAAATGAATGTGAGATGGCTCTAGAACCCAGGCCCTTCTACGAGGCAACCATAAACCCATGAGCTTAGTTTTCACGTGACCAGGAGCTGGGGCATTGCAAAGCTTTCCAGAACAGTCTAAATGTCCACAAAAGTGGGTTAAAAATGGTTAACGGTGCTGCCACATTCTCTCCTTGTGACCACGATAGAGCCCTACAAGATATAAAAAGTTACAATCTATAGAAAATGGCAGGTTGGTTTTAGAACAAAACACTTTAAGAAAGTCTTCAGGCTCGATAAAGTAGACAAACCTGTGTGCATAGCCAATTCCACTCCTGCTAACACAGTCTCATCAATGAGCAGAAGAACCGGCCAGGAGAAACGAGTGCCAAGCAAAGCAAGACGTCACATTCACGCTCGTCTACATGGACGACGAAGCCACATTTAAAAAACTACAAATTCGAAAATAGAGCTCCATAATCTAAGAGTTACCTTTTTTAAAAAATAAAAAAAACTTCCATTTAGTGCAGTCAATAGGTTTTATTAGTTGCTTGCATAGGTGTGAGGCCATGCTTTCTGGGTTAGGTGGAGGCCATGCAGAAGTGTTTTCACTGCGTGGGAGAGAGGGCTGGACAGGCTCAAAAGGCAGCTGCCACACACACGCTTTGGGGGTCAACCAGAAGGCAGTGTGAGACACTGGCTTCATTTCAAGAAAAGCACACGACTTCCCCCCAAAAGTGCACATCAGGCTTAGCAATCACGGCCCCTGCGTGGAATTTCAGACACTCGCACAGCGACAGCGGCTCCTCGTGTTTATGGTTGGGACTCAGGCACTGGTTAGTCAGCGAGTTTTGTTCTTTTCGGTTCCACACAATACACAGTCCAACCCACATCCCAGAATGTGTTTTATTGCAACTGTGCTTATGATTTCCGTATTATCTCAGAATTCCAACCCAGACACACTAATTATCTTGACAGCCAATCATTATAATAACCTGCAGCAAAAACAAGAACGTCAGCCGTTTGGTAATTTGTCAGAATGAAGTGTAACGTCAGGTGTCCTTCTACTTTCAAAAACATGTTTATTGGGAATAAACCAATGAGCTTTGTTTACAGCTCTTCTCTGCTCCGTTTCCCTACAGGCAGCCACTACTGTCCTTTACGGACTGCTCCGATTTTTTTCCTGATAGTTACTTTAGAGGGGTGACACGTTTTCTCTCCACCCAACCAAAAACACCCCACATCCATCTCATCCCAACGTGGATGGCCAAATTGTAATGAAAAGTGACTTCGCCGGGGATTTCCAAGCACTACGTAGTAGAGACAGCTGTGTGAGAGTGGCCGTGAGCGTTAAAATGTCTGCGGAGATGACAAGGGCACTTTTGGTTTCCGAATGGGACAGCTTTGCTGGGGGGTGGGGCGGGGGAGCCTCCGGAGGGTCACCAGAATCCATTCGCTCTCTTTTTCGGGAAGACTGTTCCTCCACTTAGGACACCTGTGGCTGTGCTCCCAGGGCCCCTCAGCCACAGCACGTTCCTGAAGCCGTGGGCTTGCCCTCCACGGATGCTTGCAGAATGAATGACTGGATGACGAGAGAATGATGACAGAAGCCGAGGACAGCTCACAGGTGACACCGTATGTCACCACACCACGGCCGCTGGTCCAGCGCTGTGTCACTCACTCTCAGGCTGCTTTTAGGGTGACAAAATACACGGGGGGGAGGAGGGGTCTTGAGATGACATGAGCTTAACAGTTTCTTTGTGCTTCCACATCATATGAGGGATGACAAGGGCCGTTTAGAGGAACGATACGGCCTCAGTGCACTGACGTTTACCGGGAAAAAAATCAAGAATAAACGTTTTTAAAAAGCAGACAAAGGGCCGGCTGAGTGGCTCAGTTGGTTAAGAGCTCGCTCAAGAGTTTGAGCTCTGAGCAACAGCGGTTCGAGTCAGCCCGAGCTGAGCAGCCGTGAGCTGCCAACAGGTGGCGGGATGGCTCAGCTAAAAAAAAAAAAAAAAGCAGACAAACATTACAGACACAACACGACGGTTGGTGATTATTTGTGCCTACCGAGAAATGACTGCTCCAATCAGGCCCATCTGGTTGTCAGCCAGAACCCCAGGCCTGCCGCCCTTACAGGTGATTTTTAACCCCAAAACACATGTATGCTCATTGTGCCAAACATCCCTGGGAAATTAAAACAGAAAACAAACACTCAGTCCCTAACCCATCAAAGAACTGAACTGAACCAAGTAACAATTTCCCGTATTTTACACCTGAGAAGCACCTCCAGACTTTGGGGCAAAATATTCTTTTCTGTGGTTTACATGCTGTACCTAGTAAAAGCAGAAACATTTTCATAGTTTACCAAGGACAGAAATAGAATAGGTTCAAGGAGCCTAGACAATGCCATACTACGTGCTGATTTTTTCCATGTAAATCTGAAACAAGGACTAAACTCCATAGACATACAGTTTATAGATACTGAAATTTTATTTCTAGATTCCCATGGAAAATTAAAGGAGTTTGTAGTTGGTTTTTTGTTTGTTTTTTTGTTTGTTTGTTTGTTTTGACACTAGACAAAATAGAAAATCCATTCCTGGAGCAGTCAAGGATAAAAATATTTAGCACTGTGAAAATTAAACTAGTTTCTAGTAATGCTTAACTGGTTACAGCCCCTCTGCAGAAAGTGTTATCAAAATCGTTTGTGTAATCAAACTATAATTCTAAGACTTCGCAGAGCTGCAGACGGATTTCAAATGAGATTTGCCTATGAAAGAAAGATGACAGGTCAAAGCAGACCAACACTGGATTCCTGATACTGATGACCCCACATTTGCGGCATCTGTTCCAGGAAATGAAAGCAATGCAGAAATAGTAGCAGCGGCCAAACGCTGGATAGGCTGTGGATGTGCCGTCGGGAAGTCACCCTGGTGCAGGCAGCCAGGCACCGGCAGTCACCACGGCAGAGAGCAGCGCTGCTTTGGGGAGCCAGACACCTGCACCGTGACACCAAGGCAGGGCCGAGTCAGAGGGTGACAGGCTCGTGGTCAATAAAGGGCGCGGAGCACTCTGGTAACGCTCACAGGCTGAGCGTGGAAGTCTTAAACATCACGAGGGTCGAAAGTTCCAGCTATCCTCAACACAAGCGGCCTCCAGACTTGCAAGCTACCTGCTAATGCTCAAATTAGCAGCAAAATTAAGATAAATAACCTACTGAGAACATTTCCCAAGAGGTATCCTTGGAAAATAAAAAATAAAAAAAGGCAGTGCAGAGTCCCCAGCTATGCATGTGTATGTGGTCTAGTTACCTCTCACAGCCACACCGAGAAGGGGGTTATAAATGGGTCTGGACACCAAGAGTTCAGGAAAAACTTGAAGAGTCTATGACTCAAAACAAAAACAAAAAAGTTAATATTTAAAAGCATATAAACTTAGCATGCTATATTTCACAGCAAAGTGACAAATGCTATTCAAAGAGAATCAGAACCATGACTCTCTGACATTTAAAAAAAAAAATAGAAAAAGGGGGGGAAAAGCTAAAAATTGTCAGGATACCTCCAACAAGCTTGAAAAACTATGGATCTGGCTTATCTGGGAGATTGTTGTGAGGCTCCCTTTTTTCCCTAAACCAGAAATGCAATGTGCACGGACAGGGCTCGGCAGAATGGGCCCCAGGCCTGCTGGTTGGGTCTCAAGCCCAGAAAAGAAATCAATGAATTCCTGAAAAGCAGTAAGACGCTCCAGCTCCTGCCTGAGCCTGACAGGGAGGACCGGAAGTGTGCGTGTGATGCTTGGCCGTACATCACTTCCACCCTGGCTGACTTTTGGCATTAGGCGACTGTCTTCTTTCCTCTCCGGTTACAAGATGAGGAAACGTGGGATGCACATGGGGGTCGGGGGTGAGGGGCATGGAGCTTCAACTTCTAACAGAAGAAAGCAACGCCAGAGGAGGAAAACGGTACAGATTCACGCATCCAGTTGACAATCCGTTTTTTTCTGGGAATCTTTCAAAGGCGGGAACTGCTCTACTATGTCTCAAAATCCCAATGGTCTTAGCTAGCAAATTTAGAAGGAAAAACCATTTTACTACTAGTGGCTGGCTTTCTGGCTATCCAATTTGCCATCTCTTGGGACACGCCCCAAGCATCAAGACAGCTTCCGGGACACACAGCTTTGCAGACTTCATTTCTACCTCTAAAAACTTCCATCTGTGGCAGTAGGAGAAATGACAGTCACGACAGGCCACCTTCCCCTTTAATCCTGTTACTGATACACAACCATCCTAGACTAGCTGAGTCTATACCTGAGAAACATTAGTGTTAAAATATTGCCCTTTACAAAGACTGGCGGAGGGGGCCAAAGTGCAGGAAGCAAGTTTTCTCTCAGTTTGTTTCATTGTTAGTGTCACAGTTTTTAGAACTCCTGGTGCCACGTGACAATCTGCAGTGAGGACAAATCCTGCTCAGATGAGACCCAAGTCAAATAATTCATCCTTCTACAGAGCACACTAATGACAGCTTAACTGGTTCACAGGTTTAGAAACCCCAGTGTCCAACAAAAGTCATGAGAGTTCTCTATAAAGAAATATGTACAGTTGCTAAAGGGACCGTCCAGGGTATCGTCTATAATTTTTCCAGTTAGCTTGGTATCGATGCTTTGCCTATGGCTGTTATTTGGTTCAATGGCAGAATAAGGCGACACTTTTAACAATTTGCAGTTGAATTCTGTACGCGCGCGCACACATACACACCCACCCACACACACATACACACACTGTCAGGCACATGACCCCAAGAATACAAAACAAACAAAGCAGAGGGCTTTGGTGGGAGGGAGGGGCTTCTAAATAAATAAACATCTTTACAGACAGAACACTGGGAGTGCGGTGGTGTCACTGAGGTTTCTGAGGGGGCCGTGCAGAGGCTGGCATGCTCGCAGGTAGCTTTTTGGAGGGTTTCTCGGTGGGCGGCCCAGCAGCAGGTGACGAGGGTGCCCCAGAGCCGAGCTGGGAGGCCTTGGCCTTGCGGCTGGACAGCAGAGAGTGTCTGGCAGAAGCAGAGTCCTTGGAGACAAGCTGCTCTTTCACAAGTGTGCTCGCCTTTGGCTGCTGGCAACCTGGAGGCTGGTGGCCTTTCTCTGCCGTGTCCTCCCCGGCATTCCTGCAGACCGACCTGGCAGAGCTCCCGCCGGCCTTCTTGGCAAGCAAGGTCGTCTTGCCAAGGTCAGTGGACCTCCGGGTCTCCTTCTGTCGCAAGGCCGACTTGAAGAAGGACAGTCCCTTCTCATCCGACTTGCTGTCCCTCTTCAGAGCAGCCTTCATGCTCGTGCTGGGGGAGCGCAGGCTGGCCATGGAGGAGCTCCTGATGTGCCTTCCGTCCCCTCGGGCCTCCCCAGCCCTGGCCTGGCTCACCCGTGGGGAGCTGGGTTTGGAGCTGGAGGTGACACTGGCTCTGTCCGAAACCAGGCTTTGTCTGGAGCCCTCTCTGCTTAAGCTCCGATCTGAAGTCCTGCCCTTCCCGGGTGGAAAGGGGCCCCTAGTGGCAGGGCCCGAGGCCTTTTTGGCAGTTGTGGAGGAAGCAGTGGAAGCGAGGGAAGAAGCTGGCTTCAGCTTCTGGGGTGACGGGGAGGGCCCAGGGCCTGGGGCTGAGGAGGGGGACTCCTTCCTGGGACGGGCCGGGGCCGGCGAGGAGTGCCGCCCACTGGGTCTGGAAGAATCCGCTCTGTTTCGGGTGCGGAATGGCTTTACAGAAATGTTTCCAGAAACAGGAGAAGAAGGGGACGGACTTGAGAGAGATGATTCCTGGCTGGCCAAGACGGACCGCCCCTTCCGCGAGCTTCCATCTGGCTCAGACGCACGCCTGGAGCTGGGGGGCCTCTGGGCTGTGCTCTCGGGTTTCCTTGAGAGGGAGCCTGGGTGGCCCGGGGGTTTCACTTCTTTGACTGGAGAGCTGTCTACAGAGTCGCTCTGATCCACATAAGCGATCTGGTTATTGTTGTCAAATGGGTCCGAGATGGGGGACAAGCGGCCCCCTTGTGCTGGGTTTTTGCTCTGTGTGACTACAGCGCTGGAGCTCAATTTGCGAGTGTCTGACTCGTCTTTGAACACACCTTCCATGACAGCCAGAGGGGCCCGGCCCACAGTCCTGTGCTCCCGGCGACTGTGACTATCGCTTGGTTCCTGGAAACTGCTAGAAAGGTTCCTCAAGCTACCAAAGCAAGAGATGGAGACCTTGTCGTCTACCGCCTCCCCGATCTTCTCCAAGGTGGAGGCGGAGCTGTGAATCGGGGAGTCCCCTGAGAACCGGGAAGGAGAGCTGGACCGCAGCTGCAGCTTAGCAGACAGGGACCAAGAAGGTCGGATGCAACTTTCAGTGACGGCCAAGGGGCTGGTGACAGAAGACCTGGATGACAAGCTCTGACGCTGGACACTTCTCACAAATGGTCGAGTTGAGAAACCTCCTGAATGCAGCAAAGAGAACACCGTTAAACTAAACGGAAAAAAGTCCCAGGAACATCTAAAGATGGAAGGGAGGCAAGTCTCGTGAAATGATAGGAGCGCGACCTCCAGAGCCCGTATGTCTGGGGTCAAGGAGTAGCCATGTGACTTCAACTTCTCTGAGCCCAGTTCCTTTGTCTATAAAATAGGGACATTCTAACTTGGAGATCGGCAAGCCATCTCTTTACCTTCTTGTTCAACATCAGGGGTTGGCAGATTTTTCCTGTAAAGGCCCAGATCGCAACTATTTTAGGCTTAGTGGGCCACTGCAGCATGCAAGCAACCACCCCACTGGTGACACATAAACCAATGGGCATAACTGTGTTCCAATGAAACCTTACTTAAAATACAGCTAGAAGCCCTACTCGGCCTGTGGGCTGTGCTTTGCTGATCCCTGTCCTAGCATGGGGCCACCATGAGAACGAAATACAATCTTCCAAGACCCGCGCCCAGCAAGGCATCTGCCACTCCAGAGAAGCTCCAGACGTGAGCTACTGACCCAGCTCCTTCATCTGGCCAAGGACCTCGGGGCTCGCAGAAGTGAGGTCCTCGCCCCACACACACTAACACACAACTAACGAGAGACAGCTGACACCAGAGCCACAGCCCCCAGCCCCTCACTCAGGGCCACGTGCAGGCTGGCCCGTCACTGTTGACTATAAAAGCGGATCTGCGGAAAGAATTACAGAGACAACGCACTCCTATCCTGAGTGACTTAAAACCTTTAAAGAAAATTCATAATTAGAACATGACTCCTATTCTGAGTGAGTTAAAACGTCCGAAGAAAATATTCTAAAAGGAATCCTACACACAGGTGCTGGGGCAGCTGTGGAGTTTTGTGAGGCTGTCGGGGTGAGAGCTGAGAAGACAGGCTCTATCCTGTGGGCACCACCAGCAGCACGTTATGACGGGGATGCTCCAGAGGGTATCGATTTTCCAGCTACACTGTTTAAAAATAGATCGGGGCAAAGCACATCTATGCTTATTGTTAAAACGACACCGAGTTCCAAGTGGAAAGGCTGCGCTGGAAACCTCCACCAAAACAAGCAAAGTGTCACTGGTCAGGTCTTCACACATGTCAGGGGCTAGAAAGGAGCTTGGCAATTATAGCCGAGACCCGCATTTTAGAGCAGCAACGAGCCAGCCGACCTGGCAGGGCTGCAGCTGCGACGCAGGCCTCCTGGCCAGGCAGCCTTCCCCCAGCCTCCGGCCTTCTTCCTCCATTGCACGTCCTCAGAATTCCCACGACCACTAGAAGCAGTTACGGCGATCGAAATGCTGGCCGCAGAACGAGGCTTGCTGGAAGGTGAGTCAGCGCCCTTGTTATAGAAGCTGAGCTCACTCTCTCTGCCTTCCAGCTCTCGGAGCACTGGCTGCCTGATCCTTCCCACACCACCCGGGGTCCCTGTTAGAACTAAGGGCCGTGCTGCCACTGCTCAAGCAGTAAACAAAGATAAAAGAGTTCAGCTTTTATCAGATTTTCACAGTTTTTACATTTAGACTATCCTCAGAATTCCCAAAAGCTACCTCTATGCAGAGGCACTGGTTTTTGTTCTAGGTGCTTCTGTACTTAAAAGAACATGCCAGCGATTCCTCGAAGAGCAACAGCGTGGTGCAAAGTGAGGAGCCGCACACGCCAGGAACGCCATGCCAGGCCTGGCGCTGCGACTTGTCGCCAGGTGGCCCTGGGCAAATCATAGCAGCTACTCTGAGGATTTGAAATTATAGCTACTCTGAGGATTTGAAAAAGCACTCTGAAAACCATGTTTGCATATTGCGCCCAGTTAAAGCTCTAGCCTCCACACAAGACCTTCAAAGTGAAAAATAAGGGAAGAAAAAAAGTCCCAGGTGACAGAAGCAAATGCCCGTTTATACACAATGTCGCATATGCTCGGAACCCTCGGCCCCCAGCCCCACTCTGTGACCCTTCACGTCCTGTCAGTCTCTAAAGGCCCCTGTGCTGTGTTCATGCGCCGACATCTCGGAAACTGTCACCAAGATACACACTCACCATCGTCTTCACTCCTTTCCCCGGTCATCTCCACGGACTCAGACAGCGAGGCCAGGGAGGTGCGTCTGGAGGATGCCGCAGAGGTCACGCTGGCTTGCTTGCTCCCCGGAAGCCGGCTCACCCAGTGTTCACACAACGAAGAACTCGTGGAGCCTGCAGAGGAGGAAGCGGGCAGCAAGGTCAGGCTGGGGTCCCGGCCCTGCATGCACGCTCATGGTGGCTGCTGCCTGAGCTGGAGCAGCCAATGTCCTCACCGCCAGGTTAGCACCAACCCCCAGACCCCACGCTGTCCTGCTACGATGAACAGGAGGCAGGCAGACCCGAACACGCTGTGGTGATCAAATGCAAGCGTAGAGATGAAGGACACCTCACAATGCAGTCAGAGTCTCAGGGCGTCAACAGCACAGAGTACAGGCCACCGCTCACATCCTTCCCTCTCCAAACGTTAGTTAGGAACGACACGCCAGGCTCTGTTCGAAGCACTTGCAGTTAAGATTTCCGACAGAGAGAGACAGAACGGAGAAGAGCAGTGCACAGCTACTTCCTTAGCCCCGCTGCCTTGCGGAGTTCAAAGTCATTGTCACACTATTAATATACAAATGCACATAGGGCTGTGTGACAACGGTCCTGTGCGTCCCAGGGGGGCACTGAAGTGCGTATCAGAGCAACAGGAACTGTTCCTGAGAGTGTGAAGCAGCACGGCTGGCTCGGGCAGATCTCAAGAGGGTGTCATTTATGAGCACACCCAGACCCTGGGCGGCACTGAGGAGAGACCTGAGCGCAGCCAGGTCCCCACTTCCTGTTAAGGGGGCGGGGAGGAGGGGGATCTGACTCCTGCAGGGGCCACTCTGCTTCAGAGGTGTTTCCTGTTAGCGGCTGCAAACCTACCCCGCAAGCTTCAAGGGGAGCAGGGGTTAATACTCCCTGACCTGTCACACTCTCTCCAACTAACACTCTGCCTAGACGCAGGCGCCCTTGTTTAGATCACATGCGGCTGCTTCCATACTGAGTGTGAGCACTGACGCCTGCATTTATTAAAACACAGAGACCCCATCAAGCTAAACCCATGCTGTCTAATACTACTGCAGCCTTCACTCCTTCCCAGCACAGAACAGGCGATCTTACCGGGGAAAACCCTTTTTCTAACGGTGCTTTACCCTTTACAAGTGGCTTTAATGTCCATCTGCCCTAATGTGATGCATACGATGACGCCACGAGGCAGGCAGTGCTACAGATGACAAACATGTGGTTTGGGTAGGACGGACTACTCTAAGATGATCCAATCCAAATGTGGCCAAGCCAGTGTCGGTTCTGTTCCCAAACCCCTCACTCCCTCCCCTTTTGCTGCAGCGTGCCAGGCTGCTTTTCAGCTTGTGTATTCCACAAGTACACATCACACCGTCAGGGGACTTTGAGCCAGGCTCCCCTCCACCTCCCTGGGAACCCGGCTGGTTCACAGCTGCTCCAACATCCCACCCCCAGTCCCTTGATTGCAATCAGTCTGGTTTCCAGATTAAATGCCAACGTGAGGGTTAATGTGATCACACCAGAGTCATGAGACCTTCTGGCGAATTTCTCTAGACCATTAATTACTCTCGTCTGCTCTGGAAAGAGCTGCCAACGAAGAGCCAGCCTTACCTGCCACCGAGCTGTTGGCCGACCAGGACGGTATGGCTGTCCGCCTCTGGTAGAAAAGGATGTAGGCCGTCTGCGTGCAGACCTCGTCTTCCGACAGCTGCTGCACATCGCTGTCATCAAAGCAGTACCAGAGTCCATCCACAGAGTTCTTACAATAGGCTGCAAAAAGGGGGCCCGTCAGCGGCCAGCCCGCGCTGCCCACAGGTGCCACTTTTGTGGCTCATATAATCAATTCAAGACCTTTTTAAGGCTGCACGCAGTAACCCAGAAAAAAGAAAAACCCAAATTCCGTCTCACACTCAGGCAAAATGTTTCAAGAAATTCCAAGCTATTCCAAATGGATGGAATTCTTTTTAATTTCAGGAAACACAACATACTTCTTTATTTAAACCAGTGGGTCTCAGGGGACATTTGGCAATGAATGGAGATGATTTTGATTGTCACAAATTGGGGGGAAGTGCTACTGGTGTCTAGTGTAGAGGCCAGGAGGCTGCTAAACAGCCTACAGTATACAGGAAACCTCCCCAGAGCAAAGAATTATCCAGCCAAACTGTCAACAGTGCCAGCCAGGGGTGAGAAATCCTGGTTCAAGCACGTTGCAACATTTTAGTATTTGTTCAGCACTTATTATGTGCCAAGCATCTCATTTAATCCTATGAGACTTGTTCTATGATTATTCCCAATTTACAGAGGCTCAAAAAGATTAAGCAGCTTGCCCACAGTCATGCTGCTGAAGGGGAGTGCCCAGCTCATCCCAGGGTTCTCTAGTCCCTGGGCTGGCACTTTAACCCTTACCCAACCCTGCGCCCCTCGGGGGTAGCACAAACGATGCCGCATGAAAGCCCCCTGGCAAGCCAAGAGCATGTGAGCTCATGAATGCAACGGCCTTCTCTCCACTGCAAATTCTAAGCCTGTTATATAAAAAAAGAGCATTCATGTGCCAGTGAAAACAGACAACAACTTGGCGTCCACGAAGTCCCGTCATCCTGTCAGGATCCATCAAAGGGTGTGATATGCTCGGTACAGAAAAGTACCTTCTTATCACAGTTTCTAAAAATACCCATTTACTGGGGTGAGAATAAAGGAGTGCTGAATGCTAAATATACTACTGGGAAAAAAGACTCAGCATGGCCCCAGGGACAAGGCATCTGAGGTCCCGAGAGGCACCAGAAGTGAGTCCCTCAAGAGGCCACAACTGCTTTGCAAGCATGGAACCTTGAGATGACGAGGACCCAGGAGAGAAAGGGTGACACCAGACAGGTCCCGCAAAAGAAGAGCAGAGCAGGCATCTGTGACTGCAGGGAGGGCAGCTGTTTGCAGCAGGGGTCACGAGAGCCACAGGGGAAGGGGGGAAGCGGGGCTCTAGGGGAAAGGGGGCTGGTGATGCGGCCGAGGTTTGGTCAGCAGTGGGGTCTGGCCTCAGGGAGGGGAGACCCCGCCTGAGGTGGCCACTATTCTTGAGTGGGATGGGAGCAGAAGCATCAGGGGACAAGCCCCAGAGAAAATGACAGAGTGGCTCCTGCGTGCAATTGTGTGTGTGTGTGTGTGTGTGTGTGTGTCTTTGGGCGGCCTGTGCTCACTCAGCCTTTCCAAAGGAACTCGACCTTCTTCCCTTCACAAGACTATTTCTGAAGTGTCTTCCAGCCCAGAGCTACTCTGAATGTGGTTCGCAGACTGCTGCCAGCCCACGAGATAAACACCAAAACTGAGAAAAGCATTAAAAACTTTTACAGCAATCTGATTCGGCCATCACGTCAAATTTTTATCAGATTTGCATGAAATCTGATTTATATTGTATTTTTCAAAAGTATTGGTCATGAAGGACGGGACACTTGAAAAAAGAGACAGACAGACTCTTGCTCAGAGACAGAAGTGCTGTCCTAGGATCCTCACACAAGGTGCCACGTGCCACACACGCGCCATGTATGACAGCTCGAACCAGGGCAACATGACGACGGCAGACGTCACAGTTCGTCATCAAACGAACACCCCAGATGAACACGTGAACACAGCTACCCTGAACTCAACACTGAGGAGGCATTCAACGCTCTCTACACTAACACACCGCTCACTTTAGGCAGCAGAGCAGTGCATGGCCCAGGCATGCGAAGGGCAGAGAACACAGAAGATACCCCGCAGATAACAGAAGTGCCCACAGGTAATGGTCCATGACGCAGGCGGTCACTCCGGCTCCCTCATGTGCTTGCCAGGCTACAGAGGTGACTCGCCCGAGGTCACAGAGCCACAATGTGCTCAGCGTCTCCCCCCAAGTCCCCATCACTAACTCGTACTGCCCAAGGCAGCTGGGCTTTCAGGCATTGTCCAGGGTCTACTCTCTATGAAGAAGAGCAGGACAGGCTGAAATCCAGCACTACCCTGTCTTTCTCAACCATCGCTCGCCACAAGCCACCTAACATGGCTCCACGCTGTCCTGACTGGAAGGGGCGTCCTTTACCAAAGCTGAGGCTGGATGGTCACCCAGCAGGGAAGCCACCAACGGCATCACTCCACATGCTCATCCGTGAAATGAACGACCTCTAAGCCCTTCCAGTTCTAACAGCCCACGAGTATAATTCCGAGTCAGATCAAAGAACCCAGATACAGCTAGTCATGCCACAAAAGCAAAACTCCAACTAGACACATTTATTAGACAAGTGGTCCCATAAAATAGAAATATAAAATATGCAAGGCACAAAATATAACATCAGAATTGAAACTGACTTAAAACCAAAATTCCAGCTGAGAGCTATTTAAACATTTAATTCCTATATAACTTTGTCTTCTATGGACTTAGAGGATCTTCTGAACCGGACACTGCGTATGCTCACCAGTGGGGAGTGAGTCCCTCAGCAGAAGGCTCTGTGGTCCCTAAAGGGTACTCTGTAACATGCAGCGCCCACCCCTCCCCCGTTATCCCACAGGGTCCTGGAGCGCAGGCAGCAGGTCCCTAACCCCAACAGCTTGCCCTGTCCCCCAGGACGAGTGCTCTGCCCACCGTTCACATCCCACAGACCCTGCTCTCGCTCCTGCTTCCTCCTAACCTGTACCTACACCCGCTTCATGATTACACCCTTGGCAGACAGAGGCTGAGACCTAGTCACGTTCCCCATGCCTGTGAGGTGACACAGCCCAGTGCTAGCTCCCTAGGAGGGCCTCTGTGATGTGCCCCTGCACAGAACACACCAGTGTAAGCTCAACAGTGCAAACAACCGTCTCAACTTAAGACAACACTGGAAGAAATTACCCTCTATCAAACATCGCCTACATAAATGGGATGGGATTCAGCCGTAAAAAGGGGAATCTGACACGTGACACAACGGGAGTGAATCTTACAGACCTATGCTGCTGAAAGAATAAGCGACACAAAGGACAAATACTACACGACTCCACTTATACAACTAACCTAGAGGAGTCAGTCATAGAGACAGAACCCATGGTGGTCGCCAGGGCCTGGGGCAGGGTTGGGGTGGGGGTTAGTATTTAATGGGTGCAGTTTCCATTCGAGAAGAGGAAAAGGTTCTGGAGACGATGGTGGTGACCGTTACACAAAGATGTGAATGTCCTTAATGCACTGAACCGTCCCCTTAGGAATGGTTAAAACAGTCAATTCTGTTAGGTGTACTTCATCACAATTTTGAAAAATGTTTCCAGTGGCTACGTGTGAGTGATAAGTCCACGGGTGTTGGTGGTGTACTTTCTGCCTCTCTCTCCTCTCTAAATTTCATGATGAACACAGCTGCTTTAAGAATGAAAAGCAAATTTAACCTTAATACCAAAAGAAAAACCCTTTCAAGTCACTCTAAAGACCCTGTAACAGTGTTTCAGTCGCTCCCAATAAGAAGCAGCTAGAACCTCAAGGAAGGAGAAAGAAACCGTGGCCGGGGAGTGAGCGGGGCACACAGAGCGTCCTGGGTGAACAGACGGGCATCTGTCTGTCCGTACACCCCCATCAGCCAGCCAGCCAGCCAGCCAGCCACAGTCCAGCTCAGGAGAGAACAAGGATGCCCGCTTACTGCCCCTGGACAGAGAGCCAGAGGGTGGGCACTGCCCTGATGCTGGCACGCCGCCTGCTGTGAGGAAAGCAAAGCCACCCTGCCCCACGCACAGCGCCTGACAGGCTCCCACACAGACCCAGCCTCGCGCGCTGCATACCTGTGTAGTGCCCCCCTTGCATGGTGCCATGATGGTTGCACACAGCATACAGGTCATAAATGTAGTCCTCAGGGTCCCTCCCGAGTCCGTAGGGCCGTCGCCACGGAGACCAGTGCGATGGCAAGCTCCAGCTGCTCTGGCTTCTCTTAACCACGTGAGGCGTCATGTCCAGGCCGGTCAAGGGGAACTTGACCATGTTCTCGAGTTTCATGCGCCTGTCTCCGTCCTGTCGCAAGAAGAAACAAAAATTCTGGTGACATTTTCATGCAGACAGATGATGAATCAGTTTAGTGTGGAATGGGAACCCTTGTCGCTCACACACGTGGTCTGAGTCACCTGTCCATTGTCTCCCAAGACACATTTGAAACAGGTTCTAATGTCACCAAATGTGGAGCCAGCGACCATCTACATATACGGATAACTAGCCTCTCTTAGCTTTCCTATCTTTACCTGATAAAGGGTCTCCAGGTGTTTGCCTTACAAAGTGACAATTTCAGGTGGTTCATCCTGATCTGTCACAGAGGCAAGGAGGACAAAGCACAGTGCCTGGCGCAAAACAGCCACTGAGTGAGCAGGGCCCTTCCCTCCCCAACCTCCCCCGCCCT